CGGAATTTACAAACCTTTCGCTACTGTGAAAGTAGAAAATAATAATAAAATTGTAATCGAATTATAATATAAACCTCAAGCTAAAGAATGATTCAGAAACAATGAAAAATCAAAGAAATTTTACGAAACTTAGTAAAAAATATGAATATTGATCTTTTATTACGTACCCAGTGCTGAACCCAGAATCAACATCTACAGAGTCTGTAAGGGTAGAATGTGGACTTCGATGACTGCAAACCGTATTCTGAGTTTCCATTAAACCCTTATCGATTATAGCTGAAGTGCTTCTTCGGATTTTGTTTTGAATGACCATACTTGCTTCTAGAAAGACTATTATTCTTGTCAGCAGCACTAGCATATTGTTCGCTACCACCATTATGTGTTGCATTGTTATATAAATGTATGAAATCGTTTGATGCGTGAGGTGTGGGTGTTCTGGCTTCTTGTCTGCTTGGTTGGACTCTATATGTCGTGATAAAGTGTTTTGTCTATAACAGCACTAGAAGTGTCTGTATTTCTATTATGTTTGTGGTTTGTCTTTTTGATTCGGCTAAGACTTTTAGAGATATCGTTTTTTGTTAATGACCAGTTGCTGCGACGGGTTCTTCATCTGCGACTGGCGGCGGTTGCAAATCTGCTGAGGGAATAGGACTGGGTGCTACTGGGTGGTGGTTCAGGAAGGCGACAATTGTCCATGTCCACGCCACTATCATTCTAAAGGCAAATACAGATATAAATATTATGGCATAATATATAATTAGTAGCATTAATAGATAATTATTCAATAGTCGAGAAATAATGTTCTTTAATAAATTTGAAAAACAGACATTTTCTTTGCTTAGTTTTGAACTCTTCATGATAATGGTGCTTCTAGGAAATTCTAATAAATAATTTATTATTTGTTAAAAATTATTTTCAACAATTTAATACAGTGTAATGTAACTTTATATTTTCTTAAATGTTATTTTATTTTATCAATATTTTTGCTTACATGCATCCTAATATTAGATGATCCATCTGAATCCGAATCACTATCAAAGGAATCACTTTCATAATCCAATGGTATCGTATGACTAGTTTCCACGTGAACTGGTGGTGGTGAAGAATTTGGTGGCAGGGATTCATAATGATGACTAAATTTGTTGTTTTCTTCATCTAAAAGATAATTGATTCATTGTGTTATTTTGAGAATGAAATAAATCATGCTTATTGACTCATAAATATTATTTGCCAGTAACAGATTCTGAAGTTCAAAGTTATGACAGATAATGAAGACATGGTGAAATGAAAGAAAGCAATTTATTTTTGAGGTTTTATAAGAGGATTTGATATTTTAAGCAAAATAAATATTATATAAATAACCTCTAAATATATTTAAAAATAGCACATTGATTAGTTCATGTTTTTGTAGGAATGATAAGATTTGGACATACCGAAGTATAGTAAAAAATTTGATAATAGTAAATAATTTTTCATTAAATGTATAATTGCATCTATACACACACACACACACACACACACATATATATATATATATATATTATATATATATAGTAAATTAAAATACTGTTCTTAATTATTATATTATTATTATCATTTTTTTGTCGTTTTCATACCAATGACATAAAGGACAATCTCTTGACATTCATGATCTTCCAAATTAGATCCAGAAATTAACCTGAGAGTAGTTTGGTTCTGATTCTCTGATAAACCAGATGTTCCTGGGTTTTCATCCACACAAGTTTTTGTATTTTCATATTCATGTTGTTCATTTTGTAGGATTGGAGGTTTTATAGGTATAGTATTAGTATTGTCATCCAACCAGACGAAAAAGTGCGACGATGTAGAAGACACAAAAACTGTCGAAGCCAAAATTATTTGACTATTAGAAGTCATAGACATCATAAAACCGTACATTTTATTTCATTAATCGGAATTATAATTTCTTCTTATTTGCTTGCAGTTCACATTAACCACTCTTAGTTATTTTAAATACGCATTTAATGTTATCAGCACAACAAATTATTTACAATTGCTCATGTAGTTCGACACCTTTGAAATGAAACCGTCTGTTCAATATCTTAGTATTAACAATCTTGTAATAATAAACATAGCATTGATTTACTACGAATTATCGTAATGAAAGTTGTCGAACAGAACCCGTATTGGGAAATATCGAGTACATATGCATGTAAATAGAAATAAATTATTTCAATATTAATTCATAATTAAATTGTTAAGGAAAAACGTTAAACAAGCTGAACAACTTCCACATAAAAAAATAATAATAATAATAAAAACAAATTGTTTTATACCTTTCTGCAGTATAAACAATATTTTTTTTCAAGATATATTATAACCAATAGTTCTTCCAATTCTAAAAATTTTACGATGATTTTAAGAGAGATAAAAATATAGAACGGAAACCTGCAATATACCTATAGAGTAAGGTTGCCTAAGTCGTACCTCTTAAAAAATAGATATTTAGTATTTAATTCAATTGAAGTAAAACTAAACAAAAAAGGACGGTTACTTTTAGTTTTGCTAATCCGAGACGGAGGGGCAGGGGGATGTTCTTTATGCTAAAAAACATAAATTCCTCGTTCGAGAAGTTCATAACTCAAACACGATTTAAAGTAACAAATACTTCTTAAGGACACAATAAAAATCAGAGTTTTTTTAAATAAATCTTTTTTTTGAATCGCAATTATTGGCTTTTAGTTACAACTTTATTATTGCTCTTACAAAAGCTCGGAACACAGGATTGATCTTCAAAAAGCCCAGGAAAAATCCGGGGATATTTTTGAATAAGAAAGATATCTTTGAAGATTTCATAAAAAAAAACGGCAAAACTTTGTAAAAATCCGTGAATAGAATCTTTGAATAATTCATAAAAATAAAACGTACGGTCACTTCAATTTTAAGCAAAATTTATGAAATATTGTATTCATCCATTATTTCTCTGCATTTTTTGAAAAAATCCGTAATACACTCTCCAAATAAATATTAGTAAGAAAAAAATCAGAATCATATTATTTCACCATAAAAGGCTTGCAACTGAGTCATTTAATTAAATTTATTCAGTTTTGCAAAATGGGCCAGCAATCGTAAAATCAAAAATAAAAAAATTAATCAACAAAATAGTTCTATATGGTAATTAATAATTACTGATAATTGGTCTAAACCTAACAGAGGGCACAACTTGAGCATTGGTACAACTTAGGCACCTCACCCTATTATACATATTTAGTCCAGTCATTTAAGCTTAAATTAGGTAAGAATCTTGAAATTCGAGAAACCCAGTTGTTATTCTGTAGATACTTGTATATTGCCACCCTAAAGTTGTCTCAAAACCTACATAGTGGGGTGTCAATACCATATGTAGGTTTTGAGACAACTTTAGGGTGTTAATATACAAGTATTTACAGACTTACAGCTGGGTATCTCGAATTCCGAGGTAAACTTACTATAATGACTGAACTAATTCTAAAATTATCATACAAGAAAAATGCTATGTAAACGGTAGAAAAATCTATTCGCGTGCATATAAGTATTTAAACTTATGCAAAAATTTCCTAGAAATAATGCCATTATTATTTGCAAGCAACACAAGAAGTTATATTCCAAAATTAACAAAATAATCCTTTACTCTGGGTACCTTGGTCAGCGCACTGGGGCCTCGGTCTTCGTTTCCTGGGCGTCGTGCTCGGAAGACAATTGCCCCACAAGCCGACCGACGACATTCCGGGGAACTAACTTCTCACTCGGCTCAACATTTGCAAAAATATCCGAGCCCACACAAAACATTTATTGTAAGCGATAGTATTCGCATTATCACTGTTTCTCCACTGATTGTTCCCATGTCTTGTCACAGAATTTCACATGATTATATTTTAAATGTCACTTGAAATTTTAGTAAGACGACCCAGGTTAAGATTTCTTTATTTTGTTAATGGCACATCTGAAGATTGACAAAATCTTGATGATGTATGAGATAAAGTAATGAATAATTCAATTCACAATTATACACATTTTTCAGAATGATGACAAAGTTTGGAATCATAATTTTTAAATTTACATTCAGTAAATTCAAATAGAATGACATTATTAAACAAATTAAGTACAAAAACGTAATATTAGGGGGCGTCCATTAATCACGTAATTGATTTTTTAAAAATTTTTCAACCCACCCTCCCCTTTTGTGATACATGGTGATATTCAAAAATACCCCCCATCTCTCTCCAACCAAACATCACGTGTATTTTTAGTTACGAGACAAAAATGTAAAATTTATTGTTTTTTTTTGAAAATGTTACATAACTACAAGATCAAACATAAAAATAATAACTAAGAACAGTGCACTGTACTCTTACTTGAAATGACTATTTCCTAAATGTACTTATTCTGGATTTATTATATGTAAGTATTACATAAAGCAGACATTATACATTGAATAATTTAAGTCATATATTTAAAGGATAAGAAAACCAAACGAGTAAATATATTATACATATCTAAGGATTTCAGTATACTATCACTATACCTCAAATATATGACCATTATCTTAATTCCGATCGTCAACCTTCCGATCATAGTCATTGAAAATTTACGTTTTTTGCATTCAAACTAATTTCCTTGTAACTTTCTATTTCAAAGCCTTTCTTATTAACGCTTCTAGTATTTATGAAGTGTACCTGTACCAGTTACGATTAATTACAAGCACATTACAACGATAAGAAATATTATGGTGAAAATGAAAATATTTGCATTCCTAAGGCGTTGATAAAAGTACAAAGTCACTTTCGCTCGAGTGAACTGGTTCTGTCACATTCTCGATAAAATGAAGGTAAAAATAATCGATTAACTTAATATATAATAAAAGTGCATCATATGCACTTCACTTTAATGCTACATGATATAAAATGCATACTTTATTTTGTATTTTAGCCTTGGGATATCATAAGTGTTATCGATTACTTGCTTTATAAATTAAAAAAATATATACACGGAAATATTACAAATTATAAAGAACATATTTTCGCACGAACAAAGACCTCAGAGGTCATCATGTAATTTCTTCGTGCGATATTATCGTAAGGCAATGCGTAAAAATTGCTGATGGTATTTCTGATCTTAGAAAGCGAACATGATATTTCACAACGTCTTGAATAGTATTTTGAGAATCAAATCATCAAGTAATAGCTCATTTAAGAAATATATTAACAGATTTCGAAATTATTGAATAGAAGAACTATTTCATGGAATAAAGCTAAAATTCAAGACCAATAGTCTTTATTTTATTTTTTATATTTTTTTCTAACTACAAAGGATAATTTTTCAATACAAAAATTAATTTAAATACAAGAATTTCATCATATTTAAAAATAACTATTTTTTATTATTTTACTACAGTTGTAGAAAAACTTTCTTGAAATTTTTACCACATGATAAAAATCACGATGTTACGATCATAAATACCTTTCGCGTTCTGAATCATGCTGCATATATTTAAAGCATTTGATTGCATTGATAACATGATAAAAGAAACGAATGAAAATTTGCAGTATTCATGATAAAATATATTCAACAATAAGAAAAGAAAACCGGGGAATGTATAACCAAAGAAGCTAAGAAATAACTGCTGATGATGATAAAGATTTATTATTTATTTTTTAATCGATAAAATATGATTGAAACTCATTTGCATATTTTTAAAATCATACACAGAATAAAAAGCTCTATATGTAGTTATATACGATATATGATGACGTCTTAGTATTGGCGTCTCCACCTTTTCGCATCTTTTAGTGCAGAATTTATTTGATAATAGACATTTGTGCTAAAATATCAAATTTTTGTTTAAAATTTAAAACGATTATCATGAGTTTATCGTAAAATATAAAATATTATAATATGAAATCGATTTAAATCAACACAAGACATATGAAATTTGTTTACTATAAATATTTATATTTAGAAAAATATTTAAAAGAACACCAAAAGTAAATACTATTTGCTATTTTGCGAATTTAGTTGTAACCCATCATAGGTAATTAAACAGAATATATTATTAACATGAGCCTAGAAATTTGTGTTTTTAACTTCCCCTAGGGTAAGTTATAGTAATCGCAAAAAAATCGAAAACAAAAATTTCT